TGATATTTCAAAACGAATGAGAGGGGGGCGGCAAAATACAGGCGGCCCAAGGGCGGCAAGTAGGTGAATCCGGCCCTGTCGAGAAGCATATACAATTAATTTGCTTGATGCTTTGATAGAATCAACTCAAAACATTCATTCATTTCGGGGAATGTTCTTTCATTGGCTCCATGCTTTAATCGAAGAGTGCTGTAAACCCTTAATTCTTTTGATAAATTCTGAGCTTAGCGTTGCAGCTTGATGAGATTTTTGGGATCTAAAAGTTTCCCCCAATCACTTATAAAACCATTATTGAAAGCAAATCGGCGGTAAGTGCGCACACCAATTAGAGCCACTTTTTATTCTTTTCTTTTTTAATCTTTATTTAGGATACGCATTACCTAGTGTAAATTTATTAATTTTTTACAAGAGAATTCTCCCTCACCCACTATAAATTTAAATAAGTCCCCTGGAATCATTGGTCACTAATTTTCATTTCGTGTCCTTAACAAAACACTCAAGGCACTTCTCAGACCGATCAACACATTCAGGCTCACGCGCGGGGCGGTCAGTCAGTTTCACACTGAGCGAGGAGAAGTTCTACATATAAAATCTTGCAAACAAATTCTGCATCAAAGTTGGCTAAAAAATCAAGCATTTTACCCTGAGACCGAAGACTTTCTGAAATTCTCTTTTAACTGAAGATTTCCCTCGAAAGATTTTAAATTTTTTTTTAATTATTTTAATTTTTTGATTAATAGTTTTTATTAGTTTAGTTAACTACTCATTTAAAAGTGATTTCTACCTGAATTGGCCAATCTAGGATGTGACACCTAAAGCCAAATAGCAAATAGATATAGCTTTCAAACATAAAAAGAAATGCAAACTAATGTGAATTCTTTCATTTTATTGAATATGCAATTCGATCATCGGGGGGTTAAAACAGTTGCTCATTGGTAAAAAAGATCACCAAGAAAGTATGCGCTGGTTTATGTGGTAAGTGATGAGATTTGAAATCAATCTTTTTTCATCTCGAAATTCGTTGATTTTTCCAATTCCAATCCCTCAATTTGCTTGTTTTTTAGATACTTCAAGAGTCAACATGAATAATATTGCGCAGTTTCTTTTTTTTTCTTCTTTTTTTTTAGCTGAGAGTCAGAATATCAACCGTTTTTTCGTTCTCTGAGAAATCTTCAGTTCCAAAAGCTTTCAACGAATAAGAATAAGTGATCATTAAAAACTTGATCACTTTTCTTTTTTTGATCATATTGCCGGCGATATTGCGTATAGCTCTTTACCACCGTACATTCAGTATTTCCGAAATGTCAAGAAGTACTTTTTTATATTTTTTTATTATTTTTTTTGTGGAGAGAAAATACTGAACGTTCACTGCGTATATCGCATTTCACTGACGATATGCGACAGCACGACATCACGAATGGAAATTTGCCATTTCGTTAATCAACTATAGTTGATCACATTTTTCAAATCATGTATACCAACTTTTGATGTTTTTTCACCCCCGGGTTCGGTAAAATGTGTAGATGCCACGCAGAATTTTTTGACGTTTTGCTTCAGGGACTCTATAAAATGGTCCACATCAGCGAATGTGCTCGGAGTTGTGTTTGCTCTTTTGCTGAGCTATTTTAGAAAGCTACGTATACTTCTGGGCATTCAGCGAGGAATAAAAATCAGCAAAGGTACGGTAAATCACTCTTTGATCTTGATGTCTTTACTCTCAAATTTTTTTGAGCAGAATCTAGAGGTACACATGAAGAGGAGGAAAAAGAGGAAGAAGAAGAAAAAAGAGGGAGAAAAACGGAAAACATGGCTAAAAGTACACAATAAAACACCGAGACGTTTCGGCTCAGAGCTGAGCCATTTTCAATCGGAGAAATTCGTAAAAAATAAACAAATTTTGAAAATAAACCGGAGACTTACATGATGGTGATGGTGGCCAAAATTTGAGAATAACAAACGAAACAAAATCTATTTTTATTTAAAAATAATTTTTTTTTCGGTTTTTATTCTCGAATCTTAGCACCATCAATTAGGTCTCAAATGTTTCGAAATAAGTTGTTTTTTTTTACTTATTTCTCCGACTGAAAATGGCTCAGTTCTCAGCCGGAACGTCTCTGTGTTTTATTGTGTATTTTCAGTCTTGTTCCCCGTTTTTCCCCCTTATTTTTTTCATGTGACCATTGCCACAGGTTGCTGTGTAAAATTGTGTATTTATAAATACACCAAGGTTCTTCCTTCTCAAATACAGCCTTTAGTGCGTTATTTAACAGCCCGTTTGTGTTTTTTCAGTGATTCATTGAACGATGAAAGATTAACAACATTATATGTGATAAGTGTTGCTATTTGATCGGATTGTTGCGTATATTGCCTATCCGCACTGATCGAAAAAACACCTCTTATTGAAATTTATTACAATAAATTTGAAATTAGTGGCAAATTTCATTGAATTGAATATTGCCTATCTTTCTGACACATGGAGCTCATTTTATTGCTTGTTTAAAATCAGCACTTGTTGACCAAATGATGTTAAAAGGTTGCGATTTCATGATAAAAAAAATTGCAACTTTATTGCAATATATGTTCGTTGCATTGTGCTACTTGGGTTCTTGGTCTTGGTTGCAGTTGCAGCTGCGGCAGTGCGTTGTGTGACTTGTGGATTTTTGGTGCAATGTTGGTTCTTTGGGGTTTGGTCTTGGCCCTCGCAGCAGACGTGAGTGGGCGCGCCCATGTTTTGCCAAACGGTCAAGTGGTGGAGGTCGTGGACGAGTATGCGAAAGTGCGTGACAGCACGGATCCAGCGGTAATACTAATGGAGATGTTGCATGCGTGCGGAATTTGCGATTCGACTGCTGATTCTTCTGTAAAAGTTCGCGAGAAACATGGTGGTGCCACTGGCTTTCTCTAAAATCATCTCCCGCGCTCAAAAACAGCTCTCAAGTTGAGGCCAAAATGGAGGGGATATCCCACGCCCACGTCTACATCAAGACAAACTCTCCATGCCAAAGATAGGGAGCAAATACATTAGCAGGGTTGCCGTGTTTTTAGTTTTGTAGTCCCCAAATAAAGAGGTAGCCCTGTCAATGTATTGCTCCCTATCTTTGCATGGAGAATTTGTTTTGATGTAGAGGTGGACTCTCAGGATAGCGTGGGATATCTCCTCCATTTTGGCCTCAACTTGAGAGCTTTTTTTGAGCTTGGGAGATGATTTCAGAGAAAACCAGTGGCACCATCGTGTTTCTCGCGAACTTTTACATAAGAATCAACAGTCAAATCGCAAATTCCTCTCACATGCAAGATCTTCGTTTTTATAAGCTGTTAAAAATTTAACCAATATCAACTCAGGACATTTTACATGAAGGCTATAATTATAGTCAGTATTATTCACTCCCATTGAGCAATGCTCGTTAAATTATGTTATTCTCCAGTGCTTCATAGAAATGGATTCCTATAGAGAAACAGTAAGTTTAGCAGAACCTTGTTGTTTGGGAACTTCCCGTCTGGAGCTCACCTACTTTACCTACATTTTTGGTTATTTTGAGAAACTCATAAATTTTATACAGTAAGATTTCCGTACACTTACATTTAATTTAATTAGGATCGAGTCAGACAAGCCCTGGTAAAAATTGGCGATAGGAGCTACGTTTCAAAATACCATAGGAGTTCTTATAGCCGACTGAGGAAGGCGATAGAAAATCATATAGCTGGCTGTAGAAAGTGGAAAAAATCATACGGCCGGGCTACACGAAGCGATAAAAAATTGAACAGCCGGGCTATAGCTCCTGTAGCCGGGCTTTACACTTTATTGCTTGGCTGTTGCTTTTTCGCCATCGGCTATAAAAGGCTATCAGAAATTTTGTAGAAATTCGTGTGCTTTGTAAATCCGCAAGTTTGTACGGAATCACCATGATATTTACAAAGCGCACATTATATTTTCCTTTACTACATATTTGTTTTCATCAATTAAAATGAGAATAATCCATACAGAGTGTCCAAACATTTCAAAGTCATGAGTTGAACATCGCTGACTCCACGAGATTAAATATTAGAACCTAACACAAAGCGGAGCGGCGGCGCACTCGCGCCTACAAACCTAGCAGGGATACTTCACGCACTGCGCAATGCGTGAAGTATCCCTGTTAGGTTTGTAGGCGCCAATGCGCGTTTCGCGTTGGCTGCTCGCCCGCCGAGCTGCGCCGCAGCGTACCATGGCGCTTGAAGCAACTATTTCACACCAGAGGTATTGCACAGTATCGTACGAAATTGAAGGCGCTCCAACATATAAGGAATGGCAGGCATCCTTCATAAGTATGGAGCTTCCCTCGCAGAATAAATCAAGATACTACGGCCCAAAAAGAGAGCGGTAGTCAAAAAACTCACTAAGCACTAGCATCCGTAATTAGTGACGGATAACATACACTTTATCGTCAGACTGTTGCTTAATCGCCATCGGCTATAAGAAATTGTGTTGCCGGCTATAGAAGCTATTGGAAAACTTACAGTCGGCTGTAGGTCTATGAATGGTATTTTGGAACACAGATTCTACTTCGAATTTTTACCAGGGAGGCGGGGGAAAAAATAAAATGAGATAATATACTTCAGCATAAAGAGGTTAGTTTTACATCATGTGGGGCAGAGGGTACCCGATAATTTAAAAAATGTACCCTTTTTGAGAGCGATTCCAAGTTAGAAAACAATAAATCTCGAATTTAAAAAAAAAAAAAAAAAAAAACACAGACCGAGTGGGCCGACACTGTTGCCAGATTTAGAAACGAATACTTTTAAACGCTTTAATTGATATTTCAAATGATGGTTCGAAACTTTGACCCACTGTTTTGAAGAGAATTGGAAAGAGCTGAGCATCGAAAACTGAGAAGTAATATTTTTTACCCCCTAAACGTTTTCTTTTTCTGCACTTCATAATTGTATCCCCAATTCAAATGCTCTTTTGCCTGACTCTGTAAACACGTGAAATATATTTTCTTCTCGTTTCCATAGGTGCGTCGAAAAAAGAGAATGCTGAAGGATAACTCAAAACTTTGGACGGGAGCAGCTGTCCCTTACGAATTTGCAAAGTCTGTGTGTAAGTGTGCGATAAAGAACTTTTTTTTAGGTTGAAATTGACTTAAGGCAAGAGAGAGATTTTGCAGACATAGTATAAAAAAGAGGCATGGAATGAGGATGAATTTTACGATTAGGAAATACGATTCCTGGCTCATCCATAAAAGCCCATATTTGCGTAGGAAAACTAATGACACGTATTTTATTCCTCAATGAGCCAGAAATGTTAGTTTATTCTCATAGCAAAATTTAGTCCAATTAAGGCATCAAATAACAGGATTCTGCCTCAAAATTTTACATGAAGAGAGCAATTTCCGCGAAGGGAAATTCGCATGTCAACCTTAAGCGTGATACTAACATGCTAAGAGGAACTGAGGAAGATAAGAGGAAGAAGAAAGAGAAAAGAGAGAGAGAGGCTGAAGGAAAGGAGAAAGAAGAAGGGGAGAGAGTGACGGGGAAGGAGATAAAGAAAAAGAAGAAGGAAACAATAAAGCAATGAGGAAAGAGAGGAAGATAAGGGAGAGAGGAAATGAAAATACGAAGGAAATAGTTTTTTTTCGAAAGGGGAAAAAATTACATTGAGGTCATGGCCTTCGATTTCAGTATGGACAACACGTCGAATAGTGGCATCGTCGTGAAATAGTACGCTTACTCGGTACGCGCAAAAATAAGAGCTTATTGCCAAACGGGTGAATGGATATGACAATAATCGATGGAAACAGATTAACGTATTAACCGATTGATATCGATTCGATCGAGAAATAATATAGTAAACAGTTTCCTTTTTATTTTTTGATCCAATTATATCGATTAAAACAATCCCATTCTGTTGCCGCGGGAAATTCCAGAAAAGTTCTATTGATGATATGGGCAAGTATTAAAATTATAAAGCATCTGGAGGCGTGATTTCAGTCTCGGGCTTTTTATTTATTAAAAATAACAGAGAATTTCACCTTTAGAACTTTGAACGATTATAACTCGCTCAGAAAGAGAGCTATTAATTCGAAATAAAAAAGACGATTTTCTCATGACTTTCGAACGATGTATCACAAAAAGGGGGCTGCCATTTAAATAAATATTGGGAGGCCTCCCTCCTTTAAAGACCCCCAACATTTGAATACAGTAAAAAGTATTTCTCATGAATTGAAGGAAATACCCACGATTTTAAACCTAGTGCAATTTAAAAAGGGGGAGGGGTTCAGACTAACGCATCAGATCACCCTGTACACGCACATGAAATGTTGATGATGAAACATGTAATTGAGTGTTTTGGTTTAGGTATAATTTTTCGAGTGCCACAGTGTCTGATTAGCATACACTTGGTACTTACATTGGTCCAAGAGAACGCATGGTTAAAAGGAACGGCAGGTTTAGGCTTTCAGTCTTCATATTTTTCAAAATCGCGATAAGGCGGGTTCATTTTGCATGTTCAACCTGAACATTTGTTTCCGTATACATTGGCGGATTCAGCAATTTGACAACACCGAGTTTTCTCCATTAAACCTATGGAAATGTATTGATTCTTGGAGGGGCCAGGTGCTCCAACAACAATCGAATACTTAACATAGGTTTAAATGGAGAAAACCGGATGTTGCCAAATTGCTAGATCCGCTTCTGTTCAGATATTTCAAAGATACTCATAAATTATGCTAACGAGATGATGCGAGCTTCTTTCTATTTTTGTTTATACATTTAGGGAGTTCCCCTGCCCGCGAATATGAGACAATGATAGAGGCCATGGAGGAGATTATGCAGGAAACCTGCCTTCGATTTAAGGAAAGGAGCGGAGAGGAGGATTTTGTGCGCATTGATTTCCAAGGAGCAAAAGAGTAAGTTCTGTCACTTAGCATTCAGACTTAATTTTTTCAGCGCAGGAGTCATTTTCATATTCGCTCCCCGAGAGGATTTCAGTGGCGAGACGGGAATGATCGATTATCGATATTTTCCCATTTAAAGCTGTGGTATAATGAATTGATTATTAAGGTGCTCGTTGCGAACACCCTGTTATCAATCCTTTACCATAGGTTTAGAGGGTAGATCAATCTATGCATCGTAAAACACGTCACGCCACTGGAGGATTTCAGATTGAGGTTTATTGTGAACGAATTTAAACCAAAGCTGTCTGAACTATAAAAAAGCATGATGTTTTTGCCTCTGATTTGATCACGTCTTGAACAGCTTGGAAGTTGCTGAGAATAATCGATGATATGCACATATATGTCGAAGGCAAAAAGTTGAATCAGGCATTTTATCAAATGTCTAGGCAGACAGTCGAATTCACAGAGGTTACGAGGTTTCTTATGTTTTCATGGAGACTTCTCGAATTTTCAATATTTTAAGAGAGAAAATCCGTAAAAGTACAGACTGTAATTGCATTTCCCGTTCAAAATTGCTCCTCACATTTCTCTAAATGTCCAAATTGTGAAATGTGTCTATTTTATGAAATGCTATGTATTTTGAGATGAATGTGTAATGCAGGACTAGAGACAACTTATTTATCATTGTATGAAGCACATTTCTGCAGAGAATTCCTTCCCACATGATCAGAGTATTATTTTGTCTACAGCTAGTCAATAAAATAATCAGAATTTCAGTCGAAGTAAGAGTATGTGACTATTTGCCTAGGCATTTCACTAAATGCCTGATTTGACTATTTGCCCTCGACATATATACATATCAACGGTGAAACTACCAAACCACGTACCTCGGTTTGCGACGTCGCAGACTTCCTGTCATACTTTATTATTTAAATGAAAAGCTACTTAACGTCCAGTCTTTAAAATTTCCGTGATTTTTCCTCTTCGTGCGGAGAAAATTCTGTGAAAATTTCAAGGAATGATATTGATTTGGTCTACTTCAAAAAAAAATGAAATGTGAGCGGAGATTTTTAAACACCGCAAACGAGATACGTGGTTTGGTAGTTTCACCGTCGATATTTAAAAGCATCCTCACGCCTCGAATTAATGCAAAATTATTCCCGTTTAGCTATCACATGTCATATGACGGTAGATGCGGCGGCGAGCAACCGATAAGTTTATTCCATCAGGAGTATGAGAAACCGGCGTTTTTGCACGAAATGGGGCACACTATAGGTCTGAAACATGAGCACCAGCGCCCGGACAGAGACCACTACATCGAGATTATACACGAGAACCTGGTAAGTAGTAGTGCCTAGGGTATACCTGTATACGGGCGACTATTGTCATCTCAATCCTTTTACGCAATCAGACGCTGAATTTAGCAGCTGAATGTGGAAGTCAACAATCATCGCCCAACGGCTGAAATTTAGCAAATTCGAGTTATTTTCATCCAGATGGGTATCAAATCTAGGTACTCGAATAGTTCAGACGAATCCAACATTAGTCCGATGGTCGCTGAAAATCGTTGCTGAATTGGACACATTTCTATCAAACGGAACTAAGCGCCAATTTGAGTCCCTTTTGAGGAATTTAAAATACCGGATAGCGCGTTCCGTCAAACGGACCTAAGCGCCATGGAAAAGCATTACGAGTATAGGACGGAATAAACCGGACGCCCGATTCCGCCGCCAATCCAAGCCCCCCTTTACCTTCCTCACCCTATGGCGCTTAGGTCCATTTGATAGAAATACGTCCAATTTTGCGCGTCACGCGCAAAATTCAGGCATCGGGCCGATGACTTTCACATTCAAGCCACATTCAGCTCCCACATTCAGCGTGTAATTGAGGCAACAGAAAAAGTGTGCCGCTCTCTGATTGGTTGGCTATCATGAAGCAACAAAGTTGGCCCAATGAAACCAAACCCCAGTCCCTCCGCGGTAGCACGCACCATGTTACGTGGATGATGTCATAAATCGAATTTTTCAAGGCGCGATATCTTGGCCAATATTCAACGTAGGAAGTTGCTGTTTGGACAGATTTTCTTATTTTTAGCTAATCCATACAAGAATCAAGTATCAACATATGATTCTATTACCAGCGCAACTGGCCCATCCTACGTCACTGCGCAGTAGAGTTCCAAAACTCGTCTTCGGCAATGACTGGCCGCAGTGTAGATTGGTCTTGCTTGATTTTTTAACGAAGAAATAATAAGATCGGTCGAAGAAGTCAAGTTGCTTGATTTTTTCTTGAAACTTGGCTTTTGGCGATTACACCCCTCTTCAAATAAGCAGGCTGTCAGGCCTAGAATCGACATTTATTATGGACTTAGATAGAGAAGAAAGGAAGCTGTCGACTTGCGAGAATCCATGCACTGCAAATTCTTCTACGGAAGATTCAAAGCCAAAGCAAAATATTTTGAATGTGAGAGCGCAGAGTTTCAACTTTATCTTTGGCATTACATCTTGGGTAAAGGAACAAATTTAAAGGCCCCTTCTCCATCGTTTCAATTTGATGTGGCGTGGCTTGTTTCGTCTCTGTCTTACGGGGCCCAAATATTACTTCCATCTTTTTTAAATGCTTACCTTGAGTCCCTTTTCTTTTAACTCATTCAAGAGTTGATGAAATCGCAAATTGTAGTTTACTAACTTATTTGATCACTTCTGTTGCAGGGACCGGGCGTTTATAAGGACTTTGAAAAATTTGACATAAATAAAATAAATTTATTTGGAGAGCCATTCGATGTTGACTCCATAATGATGTATCATGACACAATGTGCTCACGGGTAAATATCCATATGCTTTCATCTTAAAACTGTTACATTATTATATTATATTAAAATAATAATAAGATGTAAATCAATTTAAAGACTGATCGAATGAAAAGGATTGGATTGGACTTTCTGAAATCATTGACGTTGCGTATAAATTATAAAAAAAAAGAAAAATAAAGAAAAATGTATACATCAAAAGTCTGGGATACAATTTCATAGATTTGCGCTATTCGAGACTTTTCAAGTTTGAATCGCGTATCCTGAAAATCCACAACCCAGGTAACACCTTCTACTAACCTTAGAATGCTCCTTTGAATAGGAATATAGGCAAGCTGTACTACAGAATGAATACGTACTTTATTGGAACATATCGCAATAATTTTCGCGCCTTCCAATGGGAGAATACGCAATTTGCCTTTCAAACGGAAAATTGCGACTTTCAAATGATCCGGGTTCCAAATGTATCTCTTGTGTGCAACCACCCCCCTTCATTCACTGAATTCAAACTGATGAGCTTTATACAAGAATCAAGGACGCGCCTTGTCAACATATAGAGCTAGGGTTAACTATTTTTTTCCCATTGGTTACTTTTTCCCCCGCAAACATTTTTGTAAAACATATCGGTGGTTTTTTCCTGTTTAGAATCCCAAGGAGTTAAAAACGATAAAGTCAAAATGGGGACGTAGCCTATCAAGAACAACAAAAGGACAATTAAACTCGAAATTCAGCGCTGGTGACGTGAAACGAGTCCGAGAACTCTACCGGTGTGCAGGAGACGGTGAGTCACCGGATACTCAACATGAGTTGTTTCCTCCAACAATTGGCAACACAGCACAGCCCAGTCGTGGCACCGACACCATAACTACATGCACCTTGCTTATTTGAGTTTTCAGTTGCGGTTTCAAAAGCTTTTAAAAGTAACGGAGCGACGGATTTCAGAAAAAAAAATTTAACAACTTTCATTGAACTACAAACTTTATCCGCCCTTTCTATACTTTGAAATGAAGAACTCAATTATTGAGGTATTGCATGATCCAGGAATTGCCTTGAATAGTAGTCCAGTCAATAGAGCACATACAGGGGCTAAGTAGAGACAATTTCTGAGGAAACGTTCTGATATACTATTCCTATGTATTTTTCATCGCTGAATCTGGATTTCATATAAATTAGCGAACAGATCTGAGGCGAGCCAAAGCCGCCATCTTGAAAAAATGGCCGAAATTTGCGTTTTTACCGAAATAACTCGTAAATCTAAATTAAAGTACATATAATTTTCATTAAAACGAGTCCAAGATGGTTAAGATCGGAGGATAACAAATGCCGTTACAGCGTTGCAAAGTTTCAGGCAATTATTGAAGTTAGGCAATTTTCGTAACTCTCCCTGCAAATAGAGAGTTTTCAAGGCAATTAATCATTAAAACGTAGTAAGTGTAAATATGAATGATAAAAGGAGTGTAATTTTGAGTTCTTGACTTTCAAGAACGGCAGTGGATAGGGGGGGTCCGTATAAGCGCAGCTGCATTTGAGGGCGTTTTCAAAACAGCCACGTTCCGATACCCGGATTATCGTTTTGCAAAGTTCCTATTATTATGTTTTATTTCCTACCATTTGTTCGTTTTCAATCCTCCTATAAAAACTACTCATTTGCTGAATACACATCTGGCTAGAGCGCACTTAAGCTATGCATTCACGACTGCAAAAATGTTAATAGAAATCGAAAAGGCTAGCGTGCATGAAGGCAATTTCAATTGTAATCTTCCGTCGCATTTCTAAGGCGCAATGATACAACTATTTGAACTCTCCGGAATGCGTAAGGTATCACGCCGCGTTTGAAGGCGTTTTCAAAACAGCCAAGATCCGATACCCGGATTATCGTTTTGCATAATTCATATTCTTTACCACTTGTTTCTTTTTAATCCCCGTATAAAAACCACCCATTTCCTATATACAATTGTAGCTGGAGCGCACTGAAGCTATGCATTCATGACTGCAAAAATTTCAATGGAAATCGACAAGCCCAGCGTGTATGAAAGATATTTCAATTGTGATCTTCCGTCGCATTTCTAAGGCGCAATGATACAACTATTTGAACTCTCCGGAATGCGTGAGGTATCACGCCGCGTTTGATGGCGTTTTCAAAACAGCCAAGTTCCGCGATACCCGGATAATCGTTTTGCATACTGGAGAATTTGCAAGGGTCTGAAATTTGATGAATTTCCTGTTTAAGTGGAATCCTCTGAGTGAACTGAACACGAAGATACCCTTGATTCATAAATTGAGCGATTATTAGAGGAGATATGACAAAATAACCGATTCTGCTAAAATACATGTGTTTAAATGGGAAATGCCGCCAGATGACGTCACAAGGCGGCGCATTTTCTCACTTTTAAATCAATTTTTCTCCAATTTCCCATGTCAGAAAAAAATTATGAAAAATATTGCGAACTCAGCTCATTAGGCACTTTCAGATGAAGCAATAAAAAAATTGCGTGCAAATTCTCCCACCCATTTGCTAAATACAATTCTACCTGGAGCGCGCTTCAGCTATGCATTCACGACTGCAAAATTGTCAAAGGAAATCGACAAGGCCAGCGTGTATGAAGGCTATTTCAGTTGAGGCCACTGCACCAAGAACAGCCTATAACTGGAAACCGCGTTTTGAGAAAAACGTATTTAAAGTTTTGTTTTTGATGTATTGCGCAGACTTTTCTTTGCAGGTACCCTGTTTTTGTGTTTTTGGGTGACCTAACCCTTCAATTGAAGGATGCCGGGTAGATTTTGCGATAAATTTTGGGTTTACACTCTATTGTATTTAATTTAAAAAAGCGATTTATAGGCCATTATTACGCCCAACAGTCATTTTGGTGGCAATATGAGTATAGTATAGTATGGTATAGTATAAATCATTTTAATCACGCATGATTAACGCAAAATGAAAGAATATCGATAGTGAGTAAAGAAAGGGGTAACTAGCACCTTAGGCCCTTACGTTTATAGGCCCGTTTATAGGTCGTTCTTGCACCCATCGATCCAAAGGCCTGACATAACTCCGAAAAAAAAGGTTTTTCGACCTCGAGCCGTTACCTATCTATATTCTATCGCTACCACAGCATAGTCCAGGGTAAGTAGAATCCGAAAAGCAGATGGGCGTAATAAAGACCTATACGCATATAGGCTGTTCATTGTGCGTTCATGCCGAGGACGTTCATGCTCAATTGTAATCTTCCGTCGCATTTCTAAGGCGCAATGATACAACTATTTGAACTCTCCGGAATGCGTAAGGTATCATGCCGCGTTTGAAGGCGTTTTCAAAACAGCCAAGATCCGATACCCGGATTATCGTTTTGCATAATTCATATTCTTTACCACTTGTTTCTTTTTGATCCTCGTATAAAAACCACCCATTTCCTATATACAATTGTAGCTGGAGCGCACTGAAGCTATGCATTCATGACTGCAAAAATGTCAAAGGAAATCGACAAGCCCAGCGTGTATGAAGGATATTTCAATTGTAATCTTCCGTCGCATTTCTAAGGCGCAATGATACAACTATTTGAACTCTCCGGAATGCGTGAGGTATCACGCCGCATTTGAAGGCTATTTGCCTCGAGTTTATATTGAGGGCTGGCTATTCGCCAGCACGACTTCAGGAACAAAATCAAGGCGGAATAAAAAGCAAGGGGTTTAAGTCAGGTAGTCAGGAACAAAAGCAAGCGGAATAAAAAGCAAGGGGTTTAGTTCATTTTTGTGGCAATAAAAGGCACTAACCTTCTATATTTTATAGTCATTTTCCTTTCAATTATAAGCCCCGATTTCCGAAAAAAATTAATAGAGACGGAATAGCTTTCTTTAACCTAGGTTATTTGAGCTACGAGGTTCCAACTGTCGCAATGCCGGTTTGGCTGAAATTTCAGTATATTTTTCATGTCAAGATGTTCGCGAAACACTTCTCGTATTCGATACATCGGACAGGTGAGATTGTATTGACATCGATTGGTTCAATCTTCAACATGTAAACATACCCTCAAAAGTCACTTTAGAAATCCGATGGAACGCGTCTTTCGTGATAGATGTTTAGTCTTTTGAGTACCAAATGGCAATTGAAAGTGGAATTGTTAGAAATTTGCTCATTTTCAGCTTTTCTAGCTTAAGTCCTAAAATTTTGTTTGAGGTTATGTTCTACTGTTTTGAACCAAATGATACATCGAACCACTATGGAATACGATCCATAAAATCTGTACCTCGATATTCGTCACAGTGGCTTGTTTTCCCGTGGATGGCCATATTTTCCTTTAGGAATAAGCATCCGCTTATCTTTCTCTCTCCCTTGCTCTTTTCAGGAAAAACACAAAAGCCAAGATTTCCGTTCGATATTGTTTGTTCATTTACCGATCATGATTGCAACTTCAAAGGGCTCCGCAGCGCTTGGTCTTGGATTGAAGAAAAATCTACTACATGGTCTCGTTCTAAGCGCGGTGGGTTATAATATTTTATGACACAGTGACTAAATTCCACTTTTTTTATACAGATTTACGCACAGCTTGGATCGTATTCGATACATCAAACAGGTGAGATTGTATCGATATCAATTTGCTCAACGTGTGAACGTAGCCTCAAAAGTCAATTGAGTTATCTGAGGGAGCGGGTTTTTGTGATTTTCTATACTTCTGAGTGCAAAATGGCAATGAAGAGTGAAAAAAAAATTATTTTTTTTCTCTCCAAAATCTTCTTCCACAAAAAATATTGCAGAAAATTTCAAGGGCTATTTTAATTTCGTCAATCGTATTGAAACGCTTAGCTCTGGAGCTCTTTCCCGATTCGGGAAACAACTAGAAGACACAGGGTGCGAGGTCTGGACTGAAGGGAAGGGAGGGGTGCGGAAGAAAATCCCATACCTATGTTTATCAGTGGCGTGGCGTCCTTTGCGATATATCGATAGATCTGCCATGTAAACCTATGGAGAATGATCGATAAACAGGGTGTTTGCAGCGAAAACCTTAATGATCAGTTCTTCGCCATACCTTCAAATGGGGAAATATCGATAATCGATCATTCACGTTTTGTCACTGTAAAGGGGCCGTGCGCGTTGTCGCGGTGAAAAATCAAAGTCTCCCTCATATCGGACCGCTTTTTGGGAAAATGCTCTCGCAGTTTTTACAAGACTGAGTCAACATTGGCATGAATCTGTTTAAACTTATTTTCAATGAAACCGTTTAATTTTAAAACTTGTTTTTCTCTTGTGAGAAGTCCTAAAAATCCTGGAAGGGTCTACCGGACACGTGATTTAAAATGTGTCGTCATTTTCGAAATGTGTCTCAGTCAAAAAGTTACAGAGCTTACTTTGGTCTTGTTTTATTGGTCTTGGTTTTTACGAAGACTTTATCCCCACACAAACTGCACTTTGATATCTGCTGTCTCTCGCCTTGTGGAAAAAAGGGTCAGTACTTTTGGGACAAGATTGCGCGCTTAGGAGTGGATTTTAGACTGTTCCAGTGGTGTGGCGTGCTTTGTGATATATCGATTGTTATGCCATTTACACCTACGGAAAAGGATCAATAGTCAGGAAGTTCGCAGCGAACACCTAAATAATCGATTATTTACGATAGGTTTAAATGGTAGAACAATCGATATATCGCAAAGCACGCCACTGTTTTTGTGAGCTCACCGTGATTTTTGTGCGCGCTTTTACTCGTATAAAATCGATCTATTCACTTAGCTATATCTATTACATGCAACACTGCCGTGCTAAGTAAAAACGCAGTATGACGAATTCGACTTCGCCGTATTCGAATGTTGCCTACTTTCCTCTCAGAAAATATTCACTTTTGAAGAAGTTATGAATATTTTACCTTGACATTTTTAGGATTTTTGGATCAAACTACGAACCAAATTTTCTGTAAAATCGGAAGATAAATAATAAGCTCGAGTATCTACATCTATCTCAACTGTAAATATATGATGACCTCAAACAATAAACCCCAAAATACCAATAGTCACTATAGCATAAATTATACCCAACCTTCCAAAACACGTGGTTTGTGATTCACACATTTCCCTGAAAATCTGCGATTTGTCGAAGGAGATTTGGCAACGCCTGAAGGCTCATAAGGCGTTCTTCCTTAGCACGGCAGCACACAGCATTGTGCTGGCTATATACTACGCGATGCAGTAGCATAGAGTATATCGACGGTGAAACTACCAAACCACGTATCTCGTTTGCGGTGTTTAAAAATCTACGCTCGCATTTTATTTTTTTGAAGTGGACCAAATCAATATCATTCCTTGAAATTTTCACAGAATTTTCTCCGCACGAAGAGGAAAAATCACAGAAATTTTCAAGACTGGACGTTAAGTAGTTTTTCATTTAAAAAATAAAGTATGACAGGAAGTCTGCGACGTCGCAAACCGAGATACGTGGTTTGGTAGTTTCACCGTCGATATAGAGTCGTAATGTAATTGGGAGAGCTGGCGCCACTTTTAAGCATTTTCCATGTCCCGAATTCCGAGACTCCTGTGTGACGCCGGGTCACTTTTTCGATACATAATCGATTGTTTGCGATACACGGGTACCCGGCCATCCGATGACAACAACAACAACAACAACAACAACAACAACAACAACAACGGAGATAGGAATTACCACGTATTCCACACCGCCATTTTGGATCGAAAATGTATCGAAAAAGCGACCCGAACTCGGCGCACACCGGGCTCGGAATTCGTCGAGCAGAACATGACGCCAGATCTCCCATTTACATTACGACTCTATGTACTCTATGTGCAGTAGGAAGTACCTAATGTTCAGTTCAATCCCAAAAAATGACTTCTTGCCTCTGTTTTTATAAATCTGGAATTGCGTCGTGTCTTTTAGATTATGAGACGGAAGGAGGGTACCTCGCTTGGTCTTGGAAAACTGGTACTAAGACTAGCGTTGAGGACTATGTCTGGAGCGTTGGTTTCTACGGATTAAGCCCTCTTGACGAGGTGCGTGGTCCGAATGGCAAAGGATGTGTCACTTTCAAGTATTCGTTCAAGACTCAAAGGAGAGGATTCCTCACTCTCAAAGTAGGTAACCGAATTATCTTGCCACGGAGTGAATTTCAGTTCTGGGAAGGGTTCTTGTCCAAAAAATTGAGTGAAATCTACTGTCGGTGGAAAAGCGGATCAGCCTTTGAGAAGTGACTCAATCCTTAGATGCCCGCAAGTCAGGTAAAATCGATCCAGTGGCGTGCTTCGCGATATATCGTTTTGTATGCCATTGAAACCTATAGAAAAGGATCGATAAACAGGGTGTTCGCAGCGAACACCTTAAGCATCGACTCTTTACCATAGGTTTAAATGGCAGAACAATCGATAAATCGCAATTCACGCCACGGCACTGAATCGATACGAGGCTTGCTAAAACACATACGTTGCTGGTTGTATTGGACCGGTACATAAAATCTTTAGATGTAGGCTCATAAATGGACTGTATTTTGCAATTTGGAACTATAAAATATATGGTCCGGACTAAAAACAACGCATGTGCCATTAGTTTTCCTATGCACATTAGTGTTTTTTCAGATGAGCCGGAATTCATAGTTCAAAATTGCAAAATGCAGTCCAAATATAAACGAGAAAAAAACGCTAAGAAACGCGGCCCGAACTGTGTGTGAGAGGGTGATAAAATAGGGCTAGGTCCACACTATTTTGCGGGAAAAACGAGGCGAAAAAGTTCAACAATTTCAATTAGAATAAAAACTTTTAAACTCGACTGAGTTCCAGCACAATACCGGCATTTACAACCATAGAGTACAAAGAGTCGTAATGTAAGTGGGAGAGCTCCCGAATTCGGAGACTCCATGTGCGACGCCGCGTCACTTTTTCGACACACGATCGATTGCTTTCGATACACGGGGACCCGGTCATCCGATGTAAACAAAGGAGATAGGAATTACCACATATATCACACCGCCATTTTGGATCGAGCATGAATCGAAAAAGTGACCGAAGCTCGGCGCACACCGGGCTCGGAACTCGTCAACCGGAACATGTCGCCAGCACTCTCATTTACATCACGACTCTATGTGCTCTGTTATAAATTCATGTGCACGAAAAAAAGAATCAGGCGTCAAATTGAAAAAAAAGAGGGAAAAGTCGAGTGTAAAAACTGCCGAAGATAGGGGAGACGCATCCGAGCCTCGTGTTTCAACTTTTCTCCAGAATCTGAGCGAAACCTAATAGGCATCAGCATACAGCGGAACATTGGAAGTTCACGCCTCTCGCCATGGCGCCTTCAATTTTGTAGATGCAACACGGGCATCCATCAAGCACGAATAGTTGTATCTCTGCGCCGCCGCGCCGTCATCTACGCGCAATGACTTGTGTCTTAGCTTAGGAATTTTAAGAAAGTTAGCTCGAAATATGCTGTGATGTGTCCAAATCAATACTTATTTGGAGAAAAAAGTAGGTAATAACATGTTAAGAGGTCTCCCGGTCGCCCTTGAGGAGGCACGTCTAAAAATTGGTATTTTGGCGAGGGTTGTGTCATTTCTGAGATTCTTTTTTTTCTAACGACTACACCCGGAAATTCCAATCCGGGTCAATTAGACCGGATGATCTCCTCTGGGAGAGTTGCATACGGCAGATGAGGGGGGGGGAGTAAGGAAGCGCCAGTATGTTACGGACGAGGTGAAAATTTAAAAAAGAGAGATTCGCTTCAATTTTTCAACTTCAAAAACACAGTAGAGATAACATTGATAATACTTTACACTGAAAAAAAATCTCCGTGTATTTTCTAAGAAAAGGGTAAAATTATTACCAAGAATTCAGGGTTCTATTTGATCCTAGTTTTTTCTTGGTAAAATTACCATTTATGAAATTAGTAATTTTACCGAGAAATCTCGTTAAAATTATTGACTTTCTCGGTAATTTTACTGGACCCCGGTAAAAACGCCAGGTAGAATTACCGAGCTAAAATGGCAAAGTTACCGGGAAATGATTACCAATAAAAGTGGTATTCTTACCTGAAAAAAAACTGTAAAAATACCGGTTTTTAGGTAAGCTTACCAGTCTGCCTTGGTAAAATTACCAATAATTGGTAAAAAAAAGTGAGATGGTAAAGGCACCAACGGATCTTGGTAAAAACGCTGAGAATTTTGTTTCAGTAAAAACTATCAAAACAATTTATTCAAATAATTTTTTCGCTGTTTTTTTGTGGAATTATTTTTACATTTTATTGTGATGGCGGTTTCTTTCTTTCTTTTCCTGTTCGAGCCCGTGACGATGCAACGCGTCGATTCGAACGCCCTTCCACTCGCCCGAACCCGGCAGCCCAGAGCCTACTATTTTCTCCAGGAAGCTCTGGGCTCAGAGATAGGGCCGAAAAAATGAGTGGGGGCCCTTGCCTCTATATCCCTGCAAGCGAACCTCCCCTCAAACTAATCTATGTGTTTTGTCGCGTCAGCTGATGCAAGTGAAGCTGCATTCACCTGTAAGACTGGATGCCATATCATCGTCTGAAATTTGGTCTGAAGTCGCGAGATATCGGCGTATTGGTCGGAGAAATCAGCGGGTGTGGGAGCAAGTCTCAGTTCTTTGGGATGTTTCGAGTCCATTCTTGGTGAGTTTTGGCCGTCATTAATCCTCCCCTGATGTGATTTCAATTTTTTTGATTTTTAAAATATTTGCTTTTGCTTTTCTCTCTGAGTGTGATTGTCCATTGGGAAAGGGACCTTATAATCAATAAAAAAACCCACGATGATTCAAGTAGTGATATCGAAGAAAAGAGGAGAGTTCTACGAACAATGAGCTGTGGCGATCCTTGAAATTTGGCAACACTGTTTTTACTTCATTTTAACATGAGCAAACTGGGCCATTATTATTTCTTACATGCATGCACATAGAAATACGAACTATGCCGGAAAAACGTTGATGGGACGATGCGATGTGACTATGTGAAGGCAGAAAACTGAACATGTAAAGTTGAAGTCAACGCCTTGCGTTGATACAACTAAACCTGCTCCGGGGATGTCCACATGGCCTATACAAAAATCTGAAGGCGGACGGCTGCTGTTTCCCGTTCAGTTGTCGTAGCTGACGAAAATGCGTGTGGGTGGGATGGGTACTTACATGCGACTCAGAATATTGGAGGAGAATGCGGCTAAAAATATGCGCCTGCAGATTTTTTATTTTTTTTTATTTTTTTTTTTTTTTTTTTTTATTTTATATATAACCCCGTAACTTCCGTGCGGCAAGTATATTAAGGTGAATCCAGGCTTGGAACTTCGCGATTTGGCCACCACGTCGCGCTACTCAGAATAGCCGTATATATTTGCCAAAATAATAAAAACCGTAATACTTATGCAAGATTGGGGATCCAGGGGATATAGCAACATACTTGAGGAACACTCAGAGAAAAAATCTTCTCAAAATTCCCAAAAATTAAGTCGTAACTACGGCGGAGAGTAATTCCCATTGCGGCAATGGGAGAGAGAGAGACAGAACATGAGGGATTCGGTTGCACGCTCGGCCGCCGCGGCTGAGCTGAAAGTTTCAGCCATACTTTCTCTGCGCTTGTAATGAAAATTGCCAATATTTTTGGCTCAAAAAATCAAGCAGAAAATAATCTAGATCTTGTGGATCTGCTTTTTGTAATTTGAACAACATTATCTCAGTAATCGTTGAAGGAAAAAGAAATTCTCAGTGGTGACTGGTGGCGCTATCTCTTATCTTGAATTATCCCTAATCGAACCCTGGATTCACCTTAATAAGTACGTTTTGGTGAAAATCAAAGTTGCCAAACCGCAACGTCATAATTCAATATTGTTTTAAAATTTTCAGCTTGAATTTGTCTCATCTGTAGAGAACGGAGTTGGCGAGTATTCAGTGAAAATCGACGACTTCGAACTTCAATACACACCCTGCAAGAACCCGAGCAAGCAAGACCCGAAAGTTGACAGTGGAGGGAATACAAGCCCATTCGGTTGGGTCAAGAGGAGTCTTTCCGCCTCATCGGGATGGTGCCCAAAATCTCTTTTCAGAGCTTCTAAATCAAAGTCGTCCACCCGGTCCAATTCTAGATCGTTTGCAAGTTCGTCTTCGAAATCGTCGTCAGGATCAGCATCAAATCATTCGCTTGGCTCAAACAAGGCGTGACTGAAAACATTTTCAAAGGTCGATTTCCGGCGCGCAATGTCTCACAATGTATAGCATGTCATTTATTTAAGAGTGTATAACATTAAATTTTTCCCTCGGTAGACACGCTTTTTATTTCTTTTGGATGTATAAATTATAATGCCAGAACTGTATGGCAACTGTTCAACGACTGTTTTAACTATTTCAATGGTATAGCCGCGTGCGAGTAGATGATAAATCATAACATATTATACTCTAAAATATAAAATTATAAAAGTGACGCGTTATGCTGTTCGCATAAACGACAAGCAGACTCTTTCCTGCATTCCTTTGTGAGTAGGTGGTGTAAAAACACTTTCCCTTTAATTATTAGTTTATTATCTTTTAAAAAACTTAAATTCTGCTCCGTATATATATTTTTAACAGTTTTTAATTATAGAATACATGAACTCCAAACCACGCATGTCACATTTTCTACATCACTAATGATACACCGAAAAATTCAAGCGCGTATCAGAAAAAGTGAATACGTCAAAATTATTTCAGTAAGTATTCAACACTTCGAACGTTATGCTTGAACTTCTAAAAGCCTCGCAAGTTGTTATCAAGTAACTATAAAAAATAAAGACGCAAAAGTCCAGCTTTCAAATTCATCAAACCAAGGAGACCGTATTTCAATAAAAATCCCAATTTTGAACGATGGTAATGATTATCTGTGGTATGGAACCCGCAATACCAAAAAGCAACTAGTTCCAAAGACGGGTTTCATAAAATGTGAGAGCCACTGATAACAATTCACCTAGAGAAGTTCCACGAAAAACGACCCCCAACTACACTCTGCACGCATGATTGCGTGTTGAGCATTCCCAGTAAACAAGGAAAAAAAAGTATGTACAACTTTAATGAAGCAGGAGTCATTTTACTACGTTGGTCGGTTACGTTTTTTGCGAAGGAAAAAAAGAGAGGTTCCTTTATCATTTTTGGAGGGAAGGGAGCTCCTCTTCCAATTCCACGCGCGGCAAGGTAGAAAAAAAATAAAAATTCAAAGAACACGCTTTTATGCCGTCACTCCTGCCCGACAAACATGCATGAATCAGAGTCACATTCGCGCCACAATTGTTGATTTGACGTAAAACGCGTCCCTGCTTACCGTTCCGATCGGAAAATCACGGAAACTTGATGTGACACTGATGTCACGAACTTAGTTCTGTACGTCCCTTCTGGTTCTTTAGTTCAGTGACTAACCGCTTGCGAGTTCGTACCTGAGGCCATTCCTTGTGGAATATCTGCTAAAAAGTCAAGTGATAGTGAGGGTTAAGACTACGGGGATAGAGAAAATGACGGAACGCTTTTTCTTGCTGTCCATCATCATTATGATACAACAACTACTTGTTGAGGTGAAAATGGCATACGTCGATCAGCAGAGAGACGATCAACGATCAAGAACCAATGTTTTTAATCCAGGATATCAAGCAATCAAAATCGGTGAGTGCATAGTTCACTATAATCAGTCATTAAATTCATGGCGATCTAACGGAAATATTGTCTCTGTTTATTGATTTTTTTTATATTATTTTTCTATGTAATCATTCAAAAGATCATAATAGACCGCGCTTAGCAGACAGGAACAAAGCTACATCAGCTGCCAAATTTAACTGAGAAAAATTTTTTTCAAGAGAAAATTTGTGCGAATTATTTTTTTAAAATTTTGAGTAATAGGCCTTGTACTATGCAGAAAATTCACTGAAATTTGCACAAAAATCCGCAAAACCGTTTTCATGTTAAAAATTAAATTGTCCGATTGAATTTGACAATAGCTGATGCGGCTTGGTTCCTTTCTGCTGAACGAACGTGGTCCAATTAAAGTTACGCATCTTTACATCATGGACGCAAAAGCGATCAGCTGATAGATAAACTATCACACACAGGTGCTTCGGCGCTTTTTTGACTCTGCAGGTCCGCTTGAATTTCGGACCCGCCTCTGTCCGTTCAAAGGTTCATACTCATACTACATTTTCTCTTTTTGACGAATACATACAAATAGACTTGAATGAAAAATTAGAAGAATATTTCTCGTCTCATCTCGGAAAAATCACGGCAGATTTTATAGTATTCATATCGGTTTACTCTTGTAAAATAGGCAGTGAAAACTTGCAACGTCGCAAATTGAGATATGAATATAATCTCAATGATGAGAAAATGTGAAACTGCACACGCGCTGGAGCGTAATTTCGGCGATAATCGTCATCTTTCGCCAACAAGTCGGAGTGATACTGTTGAAGGCGCTATGAGCAACTATTTCGCCACAGAAGTATTGCATAGTATCAGACGAAAATGAAGGCGCACTAACGTGCGTAAATTGATTGGTATCGTTTACCATTGAGTAGAATCCTACTGATCCTACGACATGCGGCTCCTGTTCGTCGATTTTTACGAAACTCGGTACCAGGGGGTATTTTTCGACGGATGAAGAGAAATTTTAGTCTTTCCAAAATCCAAGATGGCGGATGTGGTCTAAAATGCTGTTTTGGCGCCTCCGAAATCATTCAACCTTGCAACCTGTGCTACAAAGATATCTTATTGTTTTGAGGAGAAACTACTTCATATATTATTTCCAGGAATTTTTACGTATTTTCTTTCATTCTAAATGTAATGTTTTTTTTTTTTTTTAAATTAACCGAGAGGAACATTCATCTGCTCTTTTTCGAAAATGATGAATTTCAAAAAGTTGCAATCGAAATAGGTATCTAACTACCTACTCAAATTTCATTTTGCAAGGAAATTGTGAAACAAAGCTGCAATAAATTCGGTTCTTTTATTTTGTTTTTTTTTTCCTACGAAATTTTGATATTTTTGCATTATTCGGTTAATAAATGTCGAATCCTAACAACCAGACCACCAAACAAAATGTAGGCAATTTGCAATGCAAACAAGAATTGCAACTTATTTAAATTTTATTGCAAAAAATAATTTCTATGAATGCGCCTCTTCAATTAACTGCTGGGCAGCATACACAACATTCCGATGGAGCAGCAATCATTTTACCATGAAGTCGCAATGTATTACAAAGTTGCGACCTGTGCGAGGCATAGGAATTTTTTCTCAACTTCATGCATCAATATATTAAAAGGTACTTCCTAGTAGGAAAGCAAGATATCTGATTTTCATCTATGTTCCAGGAACACAACTACATCCAAGAGGGCTCCCTCATATAAAGTGGCATCATAAAAGAAAGTATGCAGAAGTGTGTAAAACAAAGTGGAAAATTTTCAATGGAAAAAGACAGCGCGAGATACGTCGGGAAGGTTACAAATTGTGTGCCGACCGCTGCCGGAGGGAAGATCCTTCATTAATACCCTTTTGCCACAAAATCAGTCACCGTTTTTTGCCTGTGACAAAATGTGACTGCTATCCAATAGATAGATTACCTTGGAAAATGCGGATCCATTTATGGTGGTTGAATAAAAAAAATCATGGAGTAATGTCTTTTTATGACTCTAAACATGCTTCAGACACAACTCTTGAAATTCTAAGACGAGTCAACGAATTTCATAATTATTCTCAGGTCCCAAGCCCAACATACCAAATAGTTGATGGGAAAATTGAGCCCAACCCACACTTTTGGCCCGAGAAAGAAACTAAACCACCTTGAGTCGGGAGCTATTTGTCCAACAACTATGGGACATCCTGTGCTTTAATGAGGAGAAATAAAGGTCGCAAACAATTTTGGAAAAAAAAAAAATGATGCTAATTTTTCCATTGAAACATAAAACAAGAGCGAAGGAGTTGCAACATTACAATCGCAGTTACAAATTTTCTGACTCGAGCCATACTATTGGTAAAAATCTAGGTACTCTAATTTTTGTCGCATTAAACAGATATTGACTCCAGATTTCTTTACACATTAACTTTTCCATTTTTTGGAAAATACATCAATTTTTACTGTCATTATTTGAATTCTAATTTCTAATGTTGATCTTAACAACTTCCTCTTATTCAACCACGATGTTTTCTCGAGCCAGTCCTTGCTACAGTGTTAAGTACCTACAGTATCAAAAAATATCTACATGTATTATGGACAGTTTATTTTTTCTTTACAGAAAATAAAAGAGATATTTGAAAATGCAAAAAAGAATTTTACTTAAATGGAGGTTAGTAACAGCAATTTGTAAGGACCTACCGATTCATGGATTGTCAGTGATATTGCCTTTATAAATAGATTCTCTAGATTGTCAGCTATGTGTTTACTTGGAAGTAGAATGTTAATACTACTTAAAAATGGTGGTTCTCATTGCCACTAAATGGGCTAGTTTATTCTTAATGAGACAATCTTGTATCTTTCTTCCTCCTCATCTTCTTCATTTCATCTTCTCATTTGAAACTATATCATCTGAAAGCAAATCACGTCTCTGTCTTATCTGGCAATGTCAGATACAACCATTTTTTATTTTCTTACTCATCCGTCAATCACAGTCCAGTCCATTAGTTTTTTCCTTTAAAATTTGGCACTCTGTACACTTCTACTACCTAATTTGGAAGCTTAAATATTTTTTCATTGCTTGTTTTTTCTACATTCTCTTAGATATCTTATGGAAGAATTCTCTTCAATAGGTACTTTTTAGTCCTTTAGCATTAACCAATAAATTCTTGATTGTCTTTTCAGATACCGACATGATTTTCGACAATAGTTACAATCGGCTGAAATTTGTTGCGAGGTTTTCTTTTGTTTTTCCTGATGATTTAATGTCCATTAAATATTAATGTCACATATTAAGGCTAAGTGAAAATGCAGCATTGTCATTGAGAAAGTATAAACTAAAATCTTTAATTTTTTATCTCTAATATTTTATTGTTATAATCTCTGAGCATTGTTGGCTTTTGTGAGATACTTAAAATATTTTTCAATCTTCTAGAAATAGATTTACATTATTTTGGCCGATATATTGATAAAATACCTTATTGTGTCCTTTAGTCCTTTAGAAAGTATGCCCTGTCCTGTATTATTATCGTATAATGCTACAATGTGAGAGCTTCAAGTTGACTGATATTCTTTATTTTTTATTAAATTAAAGTATAACCTACATATTTATGAGTTTTCAGTTAGTTGGGCAACTTAAGGACATTCCTGATATGTATACTGAACGTAGACTATGGTATCACATTAATATATTTAATTCGGAGTTATCTTTTTAAAGGGTATTATTGATTTTTCAATTAATGACTCTCTCACACTTATTTCTGAGCCGGGCCTTTGTCCTAAAGGAAAGGTATAAAGGGGCTTGTTGGACTGTGAACCTTGTTTTTTTTCAGTGTCGTTTTCTCACATTCTTGATGGCAGTCAGATATGCCGAGTAGGTATGGGTTGCATCAAAACTACAAGACCAACGCTGCTGAGTGAGAGTGAAGTGTGGTCATGCCTTCACTGAGGTAGGTTTGGTTCTTTCAATCTTCCACTCATATGTGGCACTGGCAGTTGTGCATGCTATGAATGATCGACGATTGAATCATAACACAAAACAAACACACATAACAAAGGTACTGCTATCGGATGGTTACATTCCTCTCCCACCCTGCTGCCTTTAAAGAACCCATCACCACCAGAAATTAAACCTGGGCTATCAGTGCAGGCAGCATATTATTGTTAGGCAGACTGCTCCGTAAAAAAAATAAAGTACATTAAATGCAACGTTCTCTTGACAAAAACAGCAGTTGCTTCGTCATGGTGAATACCAGCTTGCTTTATTTATGTTTCTTCGTAATGCAAGAAAATGCCATTTAAAAGTGATTCATGTCCCAAAATTTTGAGATTTATTGTTTCGCAAGGCCCATGGGAAAGAGATTACTTTAAGAGTGAAATAAAATAAGTATGTATGCACCTATATGATTGTAAAAATGAGGAAAAAAGGATGAAATATTAAAAATGAAGGATTCATAACTTTACAGTTTATTTCGTGTTTTTTTCTTCATGCTTTTATTTAAGCTGTTTTAAATTGATTATGACAAGACAATGATTAGAGTAAAAGGCTTCTAACAAATAAAAATGAAAAATACTGGGAGCTTTCTCTATTATTAGCAATTTCGTGCATTTTTTAAAAATACCATGTATGAATAAATAGTTTCTTTACTAAGCACAAATCTTTAGTCTGGCAATAGTAATTGTTGCACGGAGAAAATACTGTTTTTAAGATCCATATAAAGTGAATACTGCGTGTAAATAATTATTTTCAGAGTAAATACTGCTATTGGCTTACTGTGTTCATTCTGAAATGTTTTTGCGTAACCTCTGGGTACCAGAAATCTTGTTGAGAGTATCAATAAAATATTGAAATAACTTTGTGGTAAGGAATATACTCAAGCTCTTTTGCATGAGCACGGCGATAATCCCAAAGGAAATTATCAATTAAAATAGAGTTTAACTTAATCGTGCTTCCACCTACTTTTGATCTCACTGCTCTTGAGATCTGTTCAACTGCCTCAATGGAGCAACCTCTGATTTCAATTTCGATATCACATTTACTCTCCAGAATTGTATCTGCAAAGGAAAGAGAAGAAAATGCAAATAAAATATTTAAAGGATTTTATATTTATCAAAGAGTGAACTAAAAACAGTGGAGAACGCAAAATAGCTGAAGTTTCAATATTCACTTGAATGTATTTGATAATGTTCATTTTTTTGGGTAATTATCACTCTAGCAAATATCTAGCCGAATTGTTAAATTGAAGTTGTGTTTGAGGGATTTTAAAATTCTCAACACTCCATCAGTGAGCCCAGTCCTTCATATGAGATGATCTTAAGTCCTTATTTTAAGTGACCTAAGTTTGATAATGGTAGCCTTGGCAGCCACCAAAACATGTTCTATCAAAAAGTTAAAGTAGGAGGAAATGTGAATTTTTCAATTTACAGTTTTCAAATGAACAGCTTTTACTGGTGTTTTTTTTTTTTTTTTTTTTTTTTTTTTTTTTCTTTTCCAAAATAGGGTCAAATTTGACACTCTTAGCAGGGGACTTAGATGCTATTAAATGTCACAGTTACACTGAGACTGATAAGCTACATTTGTTAGGCTCAAAAATAGTAAATTTTAGATGATTTGGAGAAAACTAGAAGCTAAAATCTTTTAGTTTTCAGAGCATTCAGGGAGCTATCTCACTTAAAAAAGAGGAGGAAAAAATCTGGCAGCATAGGAGAGTAAAAATAAATAACATATAGAATGTGCACAACATTAAATAAGTATCACTTCTATTACTTACTTTTCTTCAGAGTCTCATAAAGCTCAGGTGAATATTCCAAGACTCCAAAATGGACCAGAACTTGTGGAACTCTAGAAATAAGAAAGATAAATACTGTGAATTCAACGTAATCAATTAGCTGAATTTTTACTATAAATGTGCTGTAGTGCCCTAAATCACAGATCTTGAAACAGAACACATAATATCAAGATGACAATCGAGATGAAAGAATTTAGAGCACCAAGGGGTGTTCAAAAAATAACAGAAATAAATAAGCACTGTTTAGGTCTATATGGAGTTGAAATTTTTCTAAAGAAAAGGAGAAAAAAATGGTGAGTAATTGACCAGAATGAAATAAACAATAGTAAATGTTAAACCAGAATGCGCTGTTTACGTTAGAATTTTTGAGACATTCTGTAAAGTGACCAGTCGACCACTGGTTAAAATTTTGCGCTTTTCTATTCCACAAGACAGGACAAATACTAAATTAACTTGTGGTTGGTTGCATACCTCTTTTTCTTTGGCATGTCTCTAACCGGCCAAATCTGTAATGAGCTAGAGGTGGCTGTCACAAAGATTGGAAAACTTTTGATTATCAGGCTTAGTAAAAACTAGGAAAAGAAAAATGAGCAATGTTACCCCCTGAGCTCATACTTTGATTTCACCCTTGTCTAATATTGTACGATAAAAAAACACAAAATTTGAACAACCAAGGTAATCTAAAAAATGGTGCAATGTCATTAACAAGAATAAAAGAAAGTCTGCTACAAGAATATCAGTGTTAAACACAATCACCGAATAAAACAACATTCTCAAAACTACGCTCAAGCTATTACCATGAGGACGTTACTATGAACACCATCTTGTGATCCAATTTGAACAAACAGACCACTTTTGCTTTCTGTTAGTACTAATATTTCACTCAAACAGATGGAAAAGTTTTTAACAAAATGCAAATAGGAAAATTCTACTTCTGTACGCAGCTTATCACCTGTGTTTTAGTCTCCACCTCTTTTTTTCCTTTCTTTTTATGATAAAAAAATAATAATTGAACTATAAAGACAAGTTTTAGTGCCTGCAGTTATGATAAGTAAAGTGAAAATTCAGATGAAAAATAGGTACCTGTAATCTGCAAACATAGTTATGGAGTCTATGTCCGGAAAGTGGCCCATACCTTCATCTTTACACCACAGCCAAATATCTGCGACCAAGATCTGCGCTCGTTTGTAAAAAGAAACTGTAGAAAAAAGGATAATATTTTAATAAAATAACTAATTAGAACTATACTTAGGTCAATTTTGTATTATGCTGAAAATATTAGGTCTAGAATGTGGGTATTCAAAAAATAACGTGTAGAACTGGAGAGATAGTACAAAATATATGTAAGTATTAGAGTTCTGTTTGCACTTATGCTCCTTTCAAAAAGTCTTCTAAACAGTCCTACTCAATGTAAGAATGCAAGGGAGCTAAAAATCTTTAGACTATAACAGATAAAATATATGAGGCTGGCTAAGAAGACACAACTTTCGAATATAGACGAGGACACTGCAGGAATGCGCATCACAGTTTGTGAAGTTGTAGACTCCTTGTCATCCTTGATCATTAAAATGAGGAAACAACACAACGTCATTTCTTGAAAGCTTCTCCGATTTTTCCCTTCTGTGTGAAGAACATTCTGCAGAAATTTCAAGCAACAGTGTTGGTCTGTTCTCTTCTTTCAACTTAAAAGGGGAGCAGAGATTTTGAAAAACCTTGAAAAAAATACGAATTTGCTGTTTCACCATCAATGTAGCCTTAAAAAAAAATGATTACCTTTGCGTCCTTTAAAAACTGCTTCATCTTGATAGCATCGGAACTCGGAAACTACTAGATCTAATAACTTTTGTGCACTATTTTGAGATTTTTGTACACAGCTTTTGAAAGTACCTGTTGGAGATATGAATGGATATTATGTTAATGACAATGATATTAAACTTACAAATGAATGAATGATGTAAGATCTGAGAGTTTATGACAACTATCCAAAACCAAAATCAAGGAATTCTAATTGGTAATATCAAGGACTAGAAAAATTTACAAATATTTAAGGTTTTTTCAAGACGCCACAAATCCTGGATCTTCAGTCCTTGTTTGGAAACAAGAACGAATACCTAGACACCACATGGTCAAAATATAGAACCAGTTTGTGGAAGCTGTAGGCATGATGCTTAAAATCATTATCACCTTATTGCAAAATATTTCTACTCGGGAGACCAGAGGCATAAAAATATAAGAAGAAGAAGAATAAAAGAAAAAAAAATACATTATTAAACCATATTTGTAAAAGAGGCAGATATGAATATTCCCTGTTTATACAGGCAAGTCTTTCTTTTCACCTTTCAAACCCTCGAGAATGTTCTGTAGAGATCCAGACTTCTTGCACAATTTTTTGGTAAGTTATAAATTAAAAACTAAGGTAGGCTGGTCAAATAAAAACAGTAAATAAGATTCTGCCGTTCTTTCCAGCCTTCTTGCTATGACTAAAGTTCATTGCTGCGAAATGACCACTTTCTCGATTTTTATTTTTCATTTACGAGACAAAAACTTTATTTTATTTTTATTTCAGCGGACTGATTTTATGCCTAATTTGTTCCTTTTTTTTAAAGTCACTTAAGGCAGGTTTTGTTTCTCACTTAATTTTTTTAAAAGGCTCTAAGCATTGCCTGAGTTTTGGTACATTTCCATCATTTCACCTCCATTGCTGTATCTTTGGACTTTGTTTTATGCATAGAAAAAATTCTCCACAAAAACTGTGAAAATTGCTTTTTTCTAAATTAACTGAGCTCAGTAAATATTGCATCAAATTTAAATTTCTCAAATCATATTTGGAAGAAGATTTGTGACATAATGAACTAATAAGCAAAGTCTTCTTTCTCTTAAGGATGTGAAAGTGCACTATTTTCAAGACTTTCAATGCAATTATTTTATAATTGGAAATTTGACATCCTCTACTGTTAAAGATGAAGCTCATATTTACCTTCATATTTGTCCAATAATATTTTCCCAACTTCATGCAAACATTCTAGTCTTTCTTCTACTAGCAGTAGCTCTCCGGAACCCTCATCACATCTGAAAATGTGTTTCAACTGACTGAGGCTTAGTTTTGAGTAAACTTTGGGGTCTCTCAAATCAACACCTTCCTGAAAAGAACACATAAACAGTTTAAATTAGGACACAAAAAACTGCAGTGGGTAGTAGTGATAAAATTGAGAATTGAGTTTGAATTAGCGACTCTAATTTCTTCAATGATGACAATCTGTTGTAGAGGTGCGTGTCCCAGGACTAGTTACCATTTACTACTTTCAAAAAAATTCATTGGTCACTCTACCTAACTCTGTAATCAAGGAATTCCGTTCCTTCCTCCTTTATTTTTTTGCGATTCTATGCCGCTGTGGCTTAGGAGAGGTTTGAATTTCAGACCCATTGTTCTGGGGACAGAAAAGTATTGGTTAGATCTCTAAAATTGCCCCTTAAATTATGTGGCATTTATCTTGCTCGAAAGAATGGCTTAGTGCTGAGCCCTGACTGTTTAGATCAAATGGAGCCAGCTGATACGGTAGTACTGCTGAGACCTACAGTCTGGACCCTGGAGTTGTAGGGCTCAGCACTACTGCCATATTAGCTAGCTCCATTTGATCTAAAGAGTTAGGACTCAGCACTAAGTCCTTTTTCCCGTGTGAGACACCCTTTAGGGTTACTTGTAAATGTTGTTAATAATGGGTAGCTTTTAAAGCTCCTGATTTATAGATGAACCTAAATTTTATTTCATTTTATTTTTGCAAAATCTAGTTGCAGGTACCCGTGAATGCAATTCAGTTGATTACTTCAATACTCCTCCATATTGCAGCACAGAGGGCATAGTAGCCTGAGTACTTCTTTTTATTCCATGTTACTTCCCAGTGAGCTGCTCTTGGATTCCAAAAGCAAAAGTTCAAAGTATCCACGGTGAAGATCCAATCAATGCCCAGGGAATCGTTGCTCTTTGGGTGAACTTCGCATTCAGAAAAGTTGCTCAGGGATATTTTCCCCTGCTTGTGGGCTTCCAGTATCTAAGAGGAAAATAAAATTTGAGAATGTTAGTTTACATGGAGACCTTGAGTCATGATTTCAAGTTCAAAAGCACACTGCACTCAAAAGAATCCGATAGTATAAATAGAGAATATTGTAAATACTCAGGCTCAGTCATATACATTTTGTTGGTTCAAATTAAGTAGACAACGGACATGACTACATTAAAATCCTGTAGAATGCCCTTTAAATGAAATTTAGTATTCACTTCACTCCTAATAGCATTAGATGCGTCTTTCATCTGATAATAGTATATTAAAATTAAATGCTTAAGCAACAGGTTGCTGAGGCATCAGTGTTCCCTGAGATGGAGCCCATAGCACACATTTTAGTTCCAAGGTGCTATCAAACAATGATTTCATAATTTAGTAAATATACAGCTCTTAATCGACTTTCCTCATTCCTAGAGCTTGAAAACATATCACTGTTGTGGTAAAGAATCTGAAAAAACAAATCTTACCAGGTCTGCAACTGAATCAACTTTGGAGCTGTTTATCTTAACATCCTTTGCAGAGTTTGCGATAAATTCGCAAGACTCTCTGACTGAAACAGCCATATCATTTACAACTGTCAAACCTTTTGCTTCCTAAAATGTAGGTAACTGAAGATGATATCCCGAGAAACGAAAATTAGAAACCACAGCACAACCAAGATCAGAACTCGTTGATCACAACACTCAGCCTTATCAAGACTTAAGAGAGTAATTCTCTTGAATCGAGATTGTCAACTCAAGAGCAGCAAATATGATAAGCGACTGATAGTATCGTTACAGATTACGTTACATACTCTCATTACTTCTCATTACTCTTTAACAATAAGATCGACTGCAATATTGACACATGCTACAAGAATAAATTGAGGTTATATTTACTTTATGTCAGATTTTCATGTTATTGTTGAACAGGTTGCAGACCGTGAAATAGAAGGAGTTTTGAATTCAGCAACACGTGCATATTAGATGCAGTTGCACAATGCCAGTTTGACGAAAACTATTATGAAAAATCGAATCACAGGCACAAAGAAAGGGTTTCATTTCTCTCCTTTCCCCCATTTTTATATTCCTCTTTTTTCTTTGGCCATACCTAATGGGGATTGCGCCTGCACTGCCAAATTTGGCATCAGTGTCACAACGGCGTTAGGTCACATTCCTCTGATGCTTTGAAAGTAAGTCAAAAGTTAGTCAAAACCAATATAGATTTTGAAATTGTATACCTCCTTGATCAAATATTTTATGGGGGAGGGGAAGTGAGAGCATAACTAGCTCTATATACACTCTATAAATTTCTAGCGCCCAAGTTTGACGGAATTTTATGGAGCAACAAGAATTTAGGGCTAAAAAAAAAAAAAAAAAAACTAGATTTCTAGCAGTGTTCGAATCATGCAGAGAAATTTAGGGGCTACTTTGGCCTGCATTGGTTTTTTTAGGCGCCATATGTTTATGGGAGACATAGGGGGCAATATGTATTTTTTCTGGAATTATTTATGGTGGAAACCGAGGCAGGCCCGCCACATCCTATCTCGGGCCCTGGTACCAATTTTAAGGCCCGGGCCTCCAGCACAGAGGGGGTCCGGGGGCCTCCCCCGGGAAATTTTCAAAATTTTGAATCTACTTGGACGCATTTTGAAGCTCCCATGACGGAGATTTTCTATCAGTTTCTGCAGAATAATTACGCCTTTTATTACTTTTAGCATAAAATACTTTCGGATTGTTGCATTCAAAACACCTCGAACTATTTTTCGGGAGGGGGGGCAGATGATAGTATTTTCAATTCTAGGGGGGTCCAAGCCTCCCTGGACTCCCCTTTCGTACGTCTATGGCAAGGAAGTTGAGCCATTGAAGTCGCGGATGCCCAGACTGGAGACTCTTAGCATCCGACGACGGAGGAAAATGAAACGCAGTCACTCAAAATATCAATTTATACTAAAAATCTTGAAAACAGATAGAAATCTTCAATGAAGTAAGGAAAATTCCACAATGCCCCGGCATGTTTCTGAAAATGTATTCACCTTTTGCGAAATTTTTAGGGTAAATTTTTCACTTTTCCTAGGGAAATTAGGGTTACATGTGAATTCGTAGTGGTTTTTCATCAGTGGCACGGGCTCCTCCAGGGCCCGGGCCCCGGAACCAGGGACCCAGTAATCAAATATCCCCTCCCTTGTGGCGGGCCTGAACCGAGGATGTCTTTTGGCATCTCAGAATCGGACCTTTTCCAACTGATTAAGCATTTTCACGGCTTTTTATTGACCAATTGAATCCTGCCTGAGGGGTAAAGTTTATTTTTCTTTTTAAAATATAAAAATTGGTGCAAATCGCATACAAAGTATTTGATTCTCTAAAGGCTTCGAATTGAGCATGTTCACTTTCGTCTCCTCATCTTTTGGCCAATTTTACCTTGTAATTTTTCATAAACGGAATATTTGCGTTACTGCTAGTGAAAATGCTTTAATTGCAATTACGAAAAAAACCTCTTTTTGTGTTGAATCAATGTACTTTCACCAGCCCTTACGCAATTATTCCGTCCATAAAAAATTACAAGGTAAAATTAATGAAAAAATGGTATGAAATTAGAGAGAACGAAAATGAAAATGCTCAATCTAAACCTTAGAGAATGAAAAACTTCTGATGCGGTGTAGACAATTTCCATCATTTTTATCTAGAAAAATATACCTTCTAGCCGCAAACAACTCTGATTTTGTTTTCAGCCCATCCTAATGAAGGGCCTCCAGTAGATTTTAGTATCGATCAAAAAAGTTTGTCGGTTCCACCGTGCTCATAGCAAGCTAACTGCGAATATTTAGGCACCAACTTTGGCCACGATGTCAATTATTTAGGCGGCAATGAGAAATATCAAGGCGCATCTTGTCGGTCGGATTCGATCACTAGACTTCTAGATTACTAGACTTTTCTAGACTCTTTAACTCGGCTCTTCAATAGCGGCACCCTCGCCACAGACAGCCGCACTGCCTTGCTAAGGAGGAACGGCGTATGAACTTTCAAGAGTTGCCAAATTGCCATCGATAAAACGTTTATTTCTGAGAAAGTTATCAACAACATTTCTCCTTGAAATTTTCCAGGAGCTTTAGGTGTAATCGCGAACAAAATTAGCTGACACATTGGAAGGAAAATACTCAAAAGTTTTCCAGGAAATTTGTGTTATATCAAACTGAAAAAAAATTCCCGGCGTTTTTACCAAGGTCCGTTGGTACCTTTACCATCTCACTTTTTTCACCAATTATTGGTAATTTTACCAAGACAGACTGGTAAGCTTACCTAAAAACCGGTATTTTTACTGTTTTTTTTTTTCAGGTAAGAATACCACTTTTATTGGTAATCAACTCCCGGTAAATTTGCCATTTTATCTCGGTAATTCTACCACAGTCGATAAAAAATATTGGCGTTTTTACCAAGGTCCAGTAAAATTACCGAGAAAGTCAATAATTTTACCGAGATTTCTCGATAAAATTACCAATTCCATAAATGGCGATTTCATAAAGAAAAAACTGGGATCAAATAGAACCCTGAGTTCTTGGTAATTCTACCCTTTTCTTAGTAAATACACCGAGATTTTTTTTTTCAGTGCAAAGATAATTTGGCAACGCCTGAAGGTTCATACGGCGTTTTTCCTTAGACGGCAGCGCAGCCTGCCTGACGGCTGCCTTCCTGTCCCTTCGCGCTTGGAACTTGGCGAGTGGCTCGCTCAAGAATGTGCAAATGGTGTTGTCAGTCTTGACGCGTTGGCGTTGCTCGACGTTGCATTCCGCGAATAATTTTTATTCGCCCGCGAATAATTTTCATTCGCCGGCGCGAGACCGAGCAAGATGACGTCACCAAAGGTGCGGGCGTTACTAATTGCAGCGATTGTTCGATTCTCGTCCGAAAGTTCAATCGCTGTTTTTGTCGCAGACTCCCCGGTTAGTAGCCGTCCCGTCACCACGCCTAGGCCTACATCTCGATTGGCTCGAGTGCACTCCAAAGATTTAATCTGTGCTCGTTGTCCCCGACCGCCCTCGAGAATATTCCGGCGAAAAATTCTTGACCTTGAATGCTGAGTGCACCTATCTTGCATGAGTGTCACACAAAGTAAGCGTTGCTGTGTTATTTGCGACACTTGTTTGTTTTCACGGGCAAAATAACTCAGCGCTGAGCCGTGACATTTCAGATCAAATGGAGCCACCTGAAGGCGGTAGTGCTGAGCCCTAAATTCTGTAAAGCTGGACCTTGAAGCTGAAAAGCTAAACCCTAAAGTTGTAGGACTCGGCACTACTGCCTTTAGGTGGCTCCATTTGATCTAAAATATTATAGGGCTTAGCGCTGCGTTGCTTTTTCGGTGTTTGATACCAATTTTTTCAACCTAAATCTCATTTTCTCTTTTATTATATGTCTTTCGCTTTGAAAGGTTAAACAACTGTGCCTCATATACTCATACAAATTTTATCAGATTTTTTCTAAACGGTCTGAGTGGTTTTCCATTTCCTTGGAAAAACGTTGCGGTTCCTCATATATTTTTCAAAAGGCCCTATCTCTCTAGAAACACACTTTTTTGCCGCGCCGAGCAGGCGTGATGTTTCACTTTTCCCTCAAGTAACGTGGAAAGGGGCGGTACCCCTCTTCCTTCTTTTTTTGTCGAGAAAAGTAGGAATAGTTAAGACTGAAATATATGATATGAAATATCTAATCAATGAAAACTGAAGAGGAAAATAAAAAATATGGTCGAGTTATTGTGAAGAAGAGGAAAAAATGTTCCAAGGAAAGAGCAGCTTTGTGACTATTCTGCGATTTCATCAGCGACCTCCTCAGAACTCTTCCATTTCTCCTTTTTTCGAATGCAAGATGGAGTCGTGACTATGCGCAAACCGGAAAGAGTTTCCTCTCAGATTTAGAGCGCACAAAGCCGGAAAAATCATGATTAGAAGGAGATCCGAGGCGCCTTCATTTATTTTGATAGGCAACAATCATTACCTCAGAGCACGAATAGTCGTATCTCGTATCATATCTAGGCGTTTCCCATCAACCTCAACGTGGTACTTCAATATTACCCCTTCATTGGTTACAGAGACCTGTGCTATTTACACTGTGCAGATAATTTGACTTATCGCTGTCTTCCTCTGCTTTTGAAATGTTCCGCTAGTTACTTAAGACCCAGAGCTGATTTATTAAGATGATTAATAATTGAATTCATGTGCCGATATAGTTCTTTTCGTTTCAATTCACTTTCGCATAATTCTGTTTGGTATAATGACGTCGAATTTCAATTTTTGCATTCCTAGAATTTTCCACACCGCTCTGATGGTACGAACCCAGCACTAGAGCAACACCGATTCGTTCGTTTGGTTTCAATCCATGTGCCTACAGAAAGTAATGTTAACGCGTATATTGGGGTTATGACGGCAAGTACATGTCCAAAACTATAATTGTAAGTAAAAATTAATCCTCTCCTTGCGAATCTCACTCTCTTAATTGATAACTTACTGAGCTAAAGTGATTTGCCCACATGGGTGGAGCGACGAACTTCTCGTGGTGGGATGGGCAGAAAAGCACCTCAGCAAGACAGTCTATGGGAGGACAGATAGACACCCCACAGAGGGTATCCGGGAAGACTCCTTCAGCTCCAAAGGGGGTCCAAAAGAGCTCTCTTAATACCTAAAAGAATCCTTTTTAAAGGGCCTTCATCCTTTATCCTTTAAAGGGCCGGATTAAGGGGCGGCAAAAATTTGCAATTTTTTAAAGTGTAGGTGTGGGTATAAAAAAAATCGGATTCATAAAATCAAAATTACAAACGAGAAAAGGCGACAAAATCTCTCATTTCCTGGGAGTATAGTAATTTCTAATTTTGTCGTCTCTTAG